TCAGACAAGAAAAAGAAATAAAAATCATCCAAATTGTCAAGGAGGAAGAAAATAAAACTTTCACTATTTGCAGAGGACATACTATTTATAGAAAACCCTAAAGACTCCACCAAAAAACTATAGAAGTGATACATGGATTCAGTAAGGTTGCAGGATACAAACTCATTATACAGAAATCTGCTGCATTTCTACACACTAGTAATGAAGTTCCAGAAAGAAAAAACGATTCCATTTACGCCAAAATAATAAAATACCTAGGAATAGCTTTAACTAAGGAGGTGAAAGATCTATACTCTGAAAACTATAAAACACTGATGAAAAAAGTTGAAGAGGACACAAACAAAATGGAAAGATATTCCATGCTCATGAATTGGGAGAACAAATATCATTAAAATGTCCGTACTACCCAATTAATCTAGAGATCTAATGCAATCCCTATAAACATTTCTCACAGAACTAGAATAATCCTAAAATTTGTATAGAATTAAAAAAGACTTTTTTTTAAAAAGATTTTATTTATTTATTCATGAGAGACACAGAGAATGAGAGAGGCAGAGACACAGACATAGGGAGAGGCAGGCTTCCACGCAAGGAGCCCGACATGGGACTCAATCCCAGGTCTCCAGGATCAGACCTTGGCCTGAAGGCAGTGCTAAACCGCTGACCTGGGCTGCCCTTAAAAAAGACTCTGAACAGTGAAAGCCATCTTGAAAAAGAACAAAACTGGAGGTATCACAATCCCAAATTTCAAGATACATTACAAAGCTGTAGTAATCAATACAGAATGGCACTGGCAGAAAAACAGACACACAGATCAATGGAACAGAATAGAGAGCTCAGAAATAAACCCATGATTATATAGGCAATTAATCTTCAATAAAGGAGGCAAGAATATGCAATGGGAAAAGGAAAGTCTGTTCAACAAGTGTGTTGGGTAAACTGGACCATTTTCTTATACTACACAGAAAAACTTAACATGGACTGAAGACCTAAATGTGAGAACCAAAACCATGAAAATCCTAAAAGAGAGTATCAGCAGTAATTTCTTGGATATAAGCCACAGAAACATTTTCCTAGACAGGTAAGGCAAAGAAAACAAAAGCAAAAATAAACTGTTGGGACTGCATCAAAATAAAAAGCTTCTGCAGGGGCAGCCCGGGTGGCTCAGTGGTTTAGCGCCACCTTCAGCCCAGGGCATGATCCTGGAGACCCGGGATCGAGTCCCACATCGGGCTCCCCGCATGGAGCCTGCCTCTCCCTCTGCCTGTGTTTCTGCCTCTGTGTGTGTGTCTCTCATGAATAAATAAATAAAATCTTAAAAAAAAAAAAAGCTTCTCCAAAGGAAACAATCAACAAAACAAAAAGACAACCTACTGAATGGAGAAGATATACCCAATGATATGTCCAATAAGGGGTTAGTATCCAAAATATATAAAGAACTTCAACTCAACACAAAAAAATAATAAAATTAAAAACAGAAAACACAGACTTTTTTTTTCCAAAGAAGACATATAGATGGCCAATCAGCAAATGAAAAAATGCTAAACATCATTCATCATCAGAGAAATGAAAATCAAAACCACAATGAGTTATCACGTCACACCTATCAGGGTGGCTGAAATAAAAACCCAAACAAACAACAAATGGCGAGGATGTGGAGAAAAAGGAACCCTTGTGCATTGTTGGTGGGAATGTAACTGGTGCAGCCACTGTGGAAAACAGTATGTATGTTCCTCAAAAAATTAAAAATGGAACTACCTTATCATCCAGTAATTCTACTGGGTGTTTACCTAAAGAATATCAAAACACTAATTCAAAAAGATACAGGAATCCCTATGTTCACTGCAGTATTATTTACAACAGCCACATTATAGAAGCAACACAAGTATCAATAGATGAATAGAGATGAGGTATATACAATGGAATATTATTCAGCCATAAAAACGAAATCTTGCCATTTTCAGTAACATCGATGGACCTAGAGGGTAATGCTAAGTGAAATAAGTCAGAGGAAGGCAAATACCATATGATTTCACTTATATGTGGAATTTAAGAAACAAAGGAGACCAACGCCCCCCCCCCCAAAAAAAAAACAAACAAACCTAGACTCTTGAATATGCAAACTGCTGGTGGTTGCCCGACAGGAGAGGAGTATGGGGATGGGTGCCATAGGTGAAGGGGATTAAGAGTGCACTTACTGTTACAAGCACTGAGTAGTGTATAGAATTGTTGAATTACTATATTGTACACCTGAAACTAACACTGTATGTTAATTATCCCAGAATTAAAAGACAATAAAACAAGGAGGGTAACAATAATAATAATTGCTTAATCATAGAGATGTCATTTATCCAATGCCATCACATATGTAAAATAAATAGAATGGTATCTATAGTATAAAAAATATAAGTAGTGGTTCATTAGAGAGGAACTGGACAAGCATCCAGCTGAGCTCTAACTGCAGAACTACACAGGAAGTCCTGATAATGAGACACTTGGGTCTGGCTGACATCTTGTCCTGCCAAGTATAAAATTCTAGATTTATAAAGTTATAAATCTGTATGTAATTATAAATTAATATATTGAGAAGTGATATAAATATGTAAGATTACACCTCATGCCCTTATTGGGATCATCTTTCCAAGTGTTACTGCACTTCTAAGATGAGGCCTCACACTAATGTCTCTCCTTCTTTTTCATCCACGGCTTTTCTAGACAATAAGCTTTCATTCATATAACACTGAATAAGAACTTTGAATGTCAATTTTTAAATGTTAAAGTTCCTTTTTAAAAGACCTGTGACTAATAGTGTGACTCCTGTTAAGAAAATCCATCCATTCATTTATGTACCGAGTATCTACTGTGCACCTATACTGGGCACCGTCACACCCTGAGAACCCAGTAGTGAGCAAGGTGTGGTGCTTCCACGTTGGGAGGGACAGATGATTAATGTGTAAACAATAAATTATATCATTTCAGAGAGTCTTCAGTGAAGGAAATTGAGCAGGACAAGGACAGACCGGGATATGGAGACGGTCAGGGAGGGGCACTGATCCAGGTTGTGGGAAAGCTCTGAAGCATACGTGAGGTTTATAGGAGGAACGCTAGGAGGCCAGTAGGGCTGGCCATGGAGAACGGAGCAAAGGGAAGCCTGAAGTCTCGGCGATGCTTTATCAACTAGACACTGGCTGAGAATTTATTTCTTGTTGAAGGCATGGATTCCCCTACTGATCTCGCAACTTCAAACCCTGAATAGGATCACTACCTTACCACTGGGATCTTAGAATCTACAAACGAGACTAAATTCGGAAACTGGGAAAAGAGATGGGCTACAGCAAGAAGAGAATGGGCTGAGGCCAGTAGGCCTGACTCAAAGCCCAGGTCCCACCCTTTCTTATTTGTGTATCTCAGGCAACTGGCCTGCTTGTAGCCTCAGCTTCGTCACCTGAAAATGGAAACATCTACACCGCCCCCTCCCCTTACTAGCTGTCCTGTGCCACATCAAGCAGCTGCCCCAGTGAATCTCTGTATGTGGCAGCTGAACAATAGAAAATAAAGGTGGACAAACAGGATGTCTGGTAACAACACATGAACGACAAGAAATAAAACATAGCTGTCTGTGGGGGAAGCGTGCGTTAGTGACGTACGACATTACCCTGGTTAGTCTCAACAACTCCATAACATCGGTTCTTTCGTTATCCTCACTTTACAAAAAAGGAACGGGGAGGCTCCAAAAGGTTATTTGTCTAGGGTCACAAAGACTCTGAGTCTTAAACTTCACCCTTCAAAGTGAAGCATTTATTCAAAGGCAAGTCCACTGAGTACCCTAACTCGTTGCTTATTTTACTTTAGACCAAATCAGAATCAAGCTGCTTATGTTTTCCCAGCCCACAGATATCAGTAACCTGTAAAGTAAACAAGGTTGAGCAGGCTTCGCTGGTGGTGGGCACCCTAGCGGCAGCACAGTAGGAACACTTTCGTAAAAACCGGACACTTGCGCAGGCACAGACACCCAAGCGAAAACAAAGCAGCAAACAGTATTGTGGGTGTAGTGAGGAGTCACTCTCCACCTCCAAAGCAGGATGCCCGCCTCATGGCTTGGAGGCATATGCCCACCACCATGTCACGCTCATAAGCAATGACAACTGATCATCAAAACCCAGATCATTTCTTTACTCTCAAAGGGAAGGACGAAATCAAATTTAGAGCATTTCTATCCAAAACACTCAAAACTAGAAAAATCAAGAAAAAGCATATATAGAATAACTTATTCCCCAAGGACACTGGATCAAATAAGACATCACTGCATTATAAATATTAATACGGCATACACTAGGATTCCACTTCTATACAGTTCAAACCAGGCAACACGAAATTACAGCCTTGAAGGCTTCATCCTTACGTCAAAGTGAAAAGAAACCCAAGGACATGCTCCTGGTAAAAGTCAGGATAGGGTGCCTGGGTGGCTCAGTGGTTGAGCGTCTGCCTTTGGCTCAGGTCAGTTGACCTTTAGGAGGGCAGAGCAGGGCTTGTAACTGAGAAGGAGCCTGTTTCTCGACCTCAGTGGTGATGACACGGTTCCCACTTGACAGTAACTCATTAAGATGTATCTGTCTGCTTTAAGCACTTTTTTAGATTTGTATTCTATTTCACAAAGTTAAAAACAATTGAACTTCAAAGATAAACCTGTACGACTATTAATAAAGTAGACCATGCACTTTGCTCAGGTGTGTTTCATGTATTTCTTACCATTTTACAGTCTGGACAGCCCCTGTGAGGCAGAGAAGGCAGCAGGCATCCTGCTCGTCCCCGTTTTAAGATGGGGGCCCTGGAGTTCTAGGGGTCACCTGTCTTGCCTTCACCCACAGAGCCAGCGGGTGAGCCAGGACTCCCCCCGCTGTCTGGTATCGGGGAGTGCCCAGCTCTCACTCTGCCTTTCAGCCAAAGAGACTCTGGAACTGCTGTGAAGTCTGAGCCAATTTCCTTAGAGATGGGCTCACCTGTCACTGTGCTCTGCTGCAGTCTTGTGCTTGCTTTGGGAATCGATTTTGGCTTCCCTGACCACATTAAACCAGGCCCCGAATATCTTCTTCTGAAGAAAATGTGCACACAGTTCTTGTGCTTCTTCCTCCAGATGAGTCAGATACTGGGGAAGAGGACAGGAACAGAAGTGAGACAGAGGGTATCACAAAGACTTAGGGCAAATGAATCTTTTTTTTTTTTTTTTTTAAGATTTTGTTTATTCATGAGACACACAGAGAGGGAAAGGTAGAGACACAGGCAGAGGGAGAAGCAGGTTCCATGCAGGGAGCCCGACGCGGGACTCGATCCCAGGACCCCGGGATCACGCCCTGAGCCAAAGGCAGATGCTCAACCGCTGAACCACCCAGGGATCCCAAGTCTTAGGGTAAATAAACAGTATGAAAGAGAACTGCAAAGGAAAAGGAAAAGGAAATAACTGCAACACAGAACAGAAAAACAAGAGACACTGGGGGCACAGAAAGGGAGAGAGAACATGGCAGCCAAGATAACATCCTGTGCCATGTACTCAAAGAACAATGGAGCCGGAGGTATAGAAACAGTTAAAAGATGGAGAGGGTAGGTTTTTAGTAAAATCACTTGAGCAATTATGGGACAAGAAACAAGAAATGAGTATAAAAACAAAAGCTGATGTAATGATACATTACAGTTTACAGTTTATGAAACACTGAAAAATGTTTTATACTAAGAATTGATTTGACATTTTCATATTCATTTCAAAGCAAGGAACTGGATGGACTATTCTATATTTTTGAAAAAACAATGGTTGTAGACATCTGGATTACATCTAATTTTCTTACGTAGGATTGAGCAGAGAGATGTATTTAAAGCTTCCATCCCTGAGGCCTTACCTGCAGCCAGTTCCGGATAACTCTCCTAAGCAGTATTTGGCAATAAAATTGATCAGCCCGGGCTGTCTTCTTAGTCAGGACTTCCTGACTATACTGGAACCAGGAAAGCAGGCATTTTCTCTGGAGAGCTAAGGAGTGATGTTCTTCAGCCACCTGGACAATTTTTTAAATGAGAAAAGGCAATTATTCCTTATATGTTTAATCATTTAAGGAAACACACACTACCTTGGCAAATGATGCTATAGATGACATGTGGGCAGTTATGGGAGTAATCTTAGGGACATTCAGACTATGTTCTAGGAGCTGTCACTCCTGACCTTATTTTACAGTGGTTTTAGATTCACATCATGCATAGCCTTTCTGCGTTGACTCCCTGAGGAACACAGCGACTGGCTGGTTATTAGGAAAATAGAATAAACCTCCAAAGCAATTATTTCACTTGCGTCAAGTTTTGAATTGTGTAGCTGACGACATTCTCAGTTTGTTCTCCTGGAGCTTGGACTCCATGATAAACCTCTCTATTATGTACTTAACCACCATATCTAATTGAGGAAATGTCAATATTGTCAATCAGTTTTATAGTATGAGCTGTCATCCACATTGCATTTCAGACATTATCAATAAACCACAAAACCATTTGATAGGAAAATAACATGAATAATTTAATGTCTTACCAACTTAAAAGGTTCAGAGAGCATCATTCTATCTATGCAAAATAAACACATAACTCAAGAGTTTATGAGTTTTAAAAGGTAACTTATATTCTTTCAAGAGGCAGGAACACTTCTCTCTCAATCCTGTCCAGACACAATGTTCTAAGCCTTGTCTAGCCACCCAGCACCGTGAATGGGAATGATCCAAGTGAATCTCTTGACAGTCTTATCTATTGGCCAGGATGATCATCCAGGAGGCCCCTTTGGTACTTGAGACTGGTCTCGGTCCTGACTCATCCCAGCCTGGAGCCAAAAGGCAAGGGGAGCCTTCTGTGCTCCCCATTCTTCATCCTCTGGGAAAACAGAGAACCAGGAAAAGATGACCAGAGGTCTCATGGAAGTGCTGAAAATGGTTTTTGGAATAAATATAGAGCACACAGGAGTTTAAGGGAAAATGCTAATTAACTCTTCTGAAAAAATGTTACAAATAAGGCAGGAACTGTTTATTTTTTTTTAATTTATTTATTTATGATAGAGAGAGAGACAGAGAGAGAGACAGAGACACAGGCAGAGGGAGAAGCAGGCTCCATGCACCGGGAGCCCGATATGGGATTCGATCCCGGGTCTCCAGGATCGCGCCCTGAGCCAAACCGCTGCGCCACCCAGGGATCCCAAGGCAGGAACTGTTTAATTGGACCTTTCTTTTTTTTCTTTTTTTCTATCCCTTCCTGGAAGCGAACTCAGATGGTAGATAAGCTACTACCCCTTCCTTTTACTGTCCTCCAGAACTTTTCCTTTTACTTATTTTTATTTTTTAACTTTCAACTGGTGGTTGCCATCTACATAAACACTCTGATTCTTGCACAGCTCAAGGGCAGGCCCAAGCTGGGCAGCATTCCTGGCAGACTCAGGTGCAGGCCACACTTCAGCTCTGTAACCAGTGTGTTATGTGACTTTAAGTAAGTCACTTCTCCTCTCTAGGGCTCAGTGCCCTTATTACAAATGGAAGGAGATGGAGAGGACCACTAATGTTCTAAAATTCTATTATGGCCACGTCCTGATCCCGGAACCTGTAAATATGTTACCTTACGTGGTATAAAAGGGATTTTGCAAATATGATTAAGTGAAGGATCTTAAAATGGAGAGATTATCTTGCATTATATGTGAGAGCCCTAAATGTAATCACAAGTATTCTTGTCAGGGAGAGGTGGGACGGTGAGCATCAGTACATGTGACCTGAAAGCAGAGAGCAGAGTGACTCAAGGAGGGAACTGAGAGCACTAGCATGCAGGTAGCCCCTAGAAGGTGAGAAAGGCAAGGAAACCAATTCCCCCGTCCCCCACCCTGGAACCACCAGAAGGAAACATGCGTCGCTGACACTCTGACCTTACTCCAGCAAGTCCAATTTTAAGTTAATAAACTTGTGTTATTTTAAGCCACCAAGGTTGTGGTACTTTGTTGTAATAGCAATAGGAAGCTTATACGCTTGCTATGAGCTACAGAGGTGATTCCCAAAATGTGGCACTCAGACCACTCAGAATCCCCTGGGCTACTTTTTAAAAATGCAGATTCCCTGACACACACCAGCTAACAATTCATACCTACTGAGAATACCTAGAGGTGGAACTAGGAGTGTGCATTTTCCTAAGTTCTCTAGATAAATAGAAAACAAGTTTTATGAACAGAAAAGTTTGGAAATGGTTTCATATCTGTTTTCCTGTTTTTATTTTAATTGGGTTTTTCTATATCTTTTAAAGTCTATAGTTGTCATTTTGAGCTCAAACTCCTGTTTCTATTTTTATATTCTAATAAATAAATTAAAACAATTTTAATTTACTTATTCGCCCCATAGATTCAACTTTGGTTTAGAATTTTCTACCTTTTTTGATTTTATCCAGTCAAAAACTAGGATCAAAAAAGAAGAGCTGATATGAATAGAAGAATGAATCTTTCCATTTCATCTGCTTTTCCTTTGTATACTAATAAATGAACCCCCACCCCAAATATACGAAAGTCAGATAAAACTAGAAGCATTCAAGTTGGATAGCAAACAATCTTTGTAGTAGTGTACTATAAGAAGAAAATTTCAATTCAAATGTCAAATTTCATTTCCAGATTCATTCACTCAGAAGACAGAGTCAGCCCTCCCATCTCACTACTTGGGAAAAAGCCAAAGCAAAATAGCAATGGCTTGGGGGCACAGATGGATTCTCTTGCCCTCAGGCCTGATCACCACAAATGGGCTCCTCAGCTGGTTTGGAATACTCAATAATACTGGAAACAATAGTAAGGATGCTGAGGACAAAAAATCAGGGACAGAGGAAAAAACAGTGAGAAGGGTACTTGGGAAGGTGAAAAGAAAATGTAAGAAACAGGAAGAGAACACCGAGAATGAAGAATGAATAGAAGAAGTAGGGAGGGGAAAAAAATGCAGCCTAAGTCAGGTTCACAGAGGCATAACCTGCAGCATTACTCAATTTAGTGGGACTCTTATGATATTTGGTTTTCATAACGCAAAATGCTAGTTTTAACTATTCTGTATTAACTGGGCCAAATACAGAAGAGTGGTCATAACTAGATTAGATTATTGTACTTATTTTTAAGCAGAACTCTTAAAATAACACTTCATCTATTTTGAGCTTCTGATCATTTAGAATGCCTTGCCCTATACACTGGGTAAATTTGAAGTTTAATGTTATTTAATTTTATATATCTCTGTAGCAGAGTAGGTTATTGGTACCTATAATAGGATTATATATCCTTACTCTTTGTATATGATTTCATAATACCTCTCAATAAAGTAGATGAAATTTTTTTCTCCCCTAATGACCTTAAATCTGGCTCTATGATTTGCTTTGGCTAATGAGATGTCGGTGGACATGATATGAGCAGAGGTATTGTGTGGGTTTATGTCACTGGGTTTAGTTATTGTGCTTAGACATCTGCCAGGTGAAAAGCATGGCCTGAATTTCCACTGAAAGCAGATAGAGGCTGTGGAGAGAGACCTGAATGTAATCCAAAGCTGGCCCACAGACATGTGAGTAAGAAATAAATGCCTAAATTGTGAGCCACTGATTTTTGAGGGCTGTTTGTTATGTAGCTTTATTGAAACAGAAACCTAATACTTTATGGCAATTATTTCTTCTTTATGAGAAACATGGCTAAAATTGAGAAAGGCCTGTATTCATCTTACTTTGAAAGTCTTTAATAAAAAATCTACTCATACTGTTTCCAACCTATCCAGTTACAGAAATCTTTCTCCATATTTGAAGACCAAATTGGAACTCTTATCCAAAACAAAAAAATACATACACTCAATTAGTTTTTATTTTTGGCTTTTAAATCGCCAAACCACCCTCAAATCCGAATTGGGTGTTTTATTCCATTTGAAAAGTCCATTTTGTAATCTTGGAAGGAAGTGTGTCACACTATACCTGGATGTTTTGCTTGCTTTGCGTTCTCAATCTCTTCCAAGGCTCCAGGCCTTTTTTTCTTAGCAACACTCTTTCATAATGTTCTCTGGCTACTGCTTCCAGCTGCTGGTTCCTCTTAATTCTCTGCTGCTTCTCTAGTTCTTTCTGGGAAAAATTAAAAAGTAAAACTGCTGAGGAGGGACCAAGGTGGTGACCCAGGAGGTCCTCAACTTCCCTCCTCCCTTGGATGCACTCAAATGTATAGCTACAAATGAAGCATTTCACTCTGAAAGAAATCTAGAAATGACCTGAGTGACTCTTCCCTATCAAGTGAATGAGAAAATACCCATATCAAAGTGGGTAGTGCAACACACTCTTGACATAAACCCAATCCCTGGCACAGCACCACACAACAGGGAGGGAACTCCCAACTCAGAGCTTCTTTCTGAGGAATGAAGGATTTGGACTGCACATCCAGCACCTCAACTTTCAAAACCACCACCCAAAGGATGGGCCCCTAAAATGACTGGCTCTGAAAGCCACTGAGGCTTGTGTCCATAAGATCGTAAAACTATAGGAAACAGAGAAATGGTTCTTCAAGGATGTGTGAACACTCCCTATGGTTATTGCCCTAAGGCTCAGCCCTGAGGAACAGGCAAATTAGCCCCACTCCCAGTCTCTCTGAAAGGGGTTTGACTTATACCTTAATAAACTAATGCCTATTAGCTTCTAACTAAGCACACATTTAGGGATTGGCTGTGGTCCTCCCCAAAGGGAAGTGCCTGATGGACCCTTCCTCTGCCTTCTCCCTCTAGCCAGTCTAACAATAAAACCAGACCACCAGCATCTCTCTGGAAGGAGCAAGGACACAGTCCATTACCCACATTTGTGATTACCACTGAGGGATGGGATCCTGGTTTGCCTGACTCTGAAAGCCAATGGAGCTTATATTCACAAGTCCTACAGGGGTGTAGGAGTACCCCTCTCCTCTTGTGGCTATCCACCGGGGCTCAGTGCAGAGGGAGCAGACAAACACATCTCACAGTTTCTCCCTGGAAGGGGCTTAGTTACCTACATTCCCAGTTGCTGCCTGAGGGTACAGTTTTTAATCAGCTTACATCTAGGTGCTGACTGAGACTCTCCCATTTGGACAGTGACAGGTGTTGGTACATGCTCAACTACCAGGAGTTAAGAACAAGGACAGCAGATTGGATGATCACAAAAGTTTGAGAGACAACCAAGAGCCTGAGCAAGGCTGACTACAAGGTTTATCTCCCACATGAGACCACTATGTCAAGACTAGGAGTGGCTGCTTTATCTAGGGTGCAGAAACCAACAGGGAAGCCAAGAAAAATAGAGAAACAGTGGACTGTCTTCCAAGCAAACAAACAAGATGAATCTCCAGAAATCAATCTTAATGAAATAAGTGACTTACCCAGTAGACAGTTCAAAAACAGTGATCATAAAGACGCTAACTGAGGTCAGGAGAGCAATGCATGAATGAAAAATTTCATCAAAGAGATACAAAATATTAAAAAACAAACATAAATCAGATAGCTGATGATTACAGTAACTGAATCGAAAAATTCAATAAAGGGGTTCAACAGCCAAATATATCAGCAGAAGAAAGGACCAGTCAACTTAAAGACAGGGCAGAGAATTCATCCAATCAGAGGAAAAAGAAAAAAGAATGAAGATAGCCTAAGGGGTGATGTGACACCATCAAGGGTACAAATATATGCATAGAAGAGAGAAAGGGGCAAAAAGCTTATTAAAATAAATACTGGCTGAAAACTTCCCTTCCTGGGGAAAGAAATAGACATCCATATCCAAGAAGAATACCAAACAAAATGAATCTAAAGAGCCACACGCTAAGACACATTATAAATTGTCAGACATGAAAGACAAAGAGAGAATCATAAAAGCAGCAAGAAAAAAGCAACTTGTTACATATAAGGGCACTCTCATAAGATGATCAAGTTTTTCAGCAGAAACCTTGCAGGCCAGATGGAGTGGGATGATATATTCAAAGTGCTAGGAGAAAAAAAACCTGCTATACAAGAATACCCAGCAAAGATGTCCTTCAGAATTGAAGAAGAGATAGAAGAATTTTCCAGACAAACCAAAGCTAAATGAATTCATTACTACTAGACCAGCCTTATATCATACTTAACACTGAAAAGGACTAATTCAAAGGGCATGTGGGTGGTTCAGTCTGTTAAGTGTTCGACTCTTGGTTTTGGCTCAGGTCATGATCTCAGAGTCCTGAGATCAAGCCCTGAGTCAGGCTCCTTGCTCATCAAGGAGCTCTCTTTCTCTCTCTGCCCCTCTCCCAACTCGTGCACACTTTTTCTCTCTAAATCTTTTTTTAAAAAAGACTTCAAGTTGAAGTGAAGGACATTAATAACATGAAAACATATGAAACTATAAAATTCACTGGTAAAGGTGTTTATATAAATAGTTTAATCAAAATACTCTAATATGGTAATGGTGGTAGGTGAATCTCTTATAACTGAAGTAGAAAGGTTGAAAGACAAAAATATTAAAAATAACTATAGGGCAGCCCGGGTGGCTCAGCAGTTTAGCACTGCCTTCGGCCCAGGGCCTGATCCTGGAGACCCGGAATCAAGTCCCACGTCGGGCTCCCTGTGTGGAGCCTGCTTCTCCCTCTGCCTGTGTCTCTGCCTCTCTCTCTCTCTCTGTGTCTCTCATGAATAAATAAATAAAAATCTTAAAAAAAAATAACTATAAAAATAACTTGTTAATGCATACACACTATAAAAGATGCAAATTGTGGGGCACCAGGGTGCTGTAGTCAGTTGAATATCTGACTCTTGGTTTTGACTCACATGGTGATCTCAGAGTTGTGAGACTGAGCCCCATGTCGAGCTCCTCACTCAGCATGAAGTCTGCTTCAGATTCTCTCTTTCTCTCTCTCTCCCCTTTGCCCCTCCTGCTCATGCTCTTGCTCTCTAAAATAAATAAATCTTAAAAAAATTTATAAATTGTGACATCAAACACAAACTGGGAGCAGGAGAATAAAAATGTAGAGGTTTTGTATACTTTTTTTTTTTTTTAAAGATTTTATTTATTTATTCATAGACAGAGAGAGGCAGAGACAGAGGCAGAGGGAGAGGGAGAAGCAGGCTCCATGCAGGGAGCCTGATGTGGGACTCGATCCCAGGTCTCCAGGATCACACCCCAGGCTGCAGGCGGCACCAAACCGCTGCGCCACTGGGGCTGCCCGGTTTTGTATACTTTTAAGTTATCAGCTTAGGGATGCCTGGGTGGCTCAGCAGTTGAGCATCTGTCTTTGGCTCAGGGCATGATCTTGGAGTCCCACATCGGGTTCCCTGCATGGAGTCTGCTTCTCCCTGTAGGTCTCTGCCTCTCTCTGTGTCTCATGTATAAATAAATAAAATCTTAAAAAAAAAATGAAGTTATCAACTGAAAACAGACTGTTAAAACTACAGGGTGTCTTACGTAAGCCTCAGGATAACCACAAAACATACACCTATAATAAATAAAAAAGGATAAAGAAAAAGAAATCAAAGCGTAACACTACAGAGAATCATTAAATCACAAAGGAAGAAAGCAAGAGAGAAAGAAAGGAACAAAGGAACTACAAAACAGAAAATAGTTTAAGTGGTGATAGTAAGTCCATGCCTATCAATTATTTTAAATGCACACACACTAAATTCTTCAAAAAAAAAAACAGTGGTGAATGGATGAAAAAAACCAGGACCCAACCTGCTGCCTATGAACAGCTCATTTCAACTTTAAGGACACACAGAGACTAAAAGTGAAGTGATGCAAAAAAGATATTCCATGCACATGAAAGCCAAAAGACAGTAGGAGTAGCTAGACTTAAATTAGACAAAATAGACATTAAGCCAAAAACTGTAACAAGAGAAAAAGAGTCAATTCATCAAGATAATATAAGAACTGTAAGTATTTATGCAACTATCTTCCTCCACAGTTCCCTTGGCTCTCTACCCCTCCTTCCTGTGATGCTCAATGGATCATGGTCAATCCTCAAATAAGGCAGGTCAAGATCAAAACTGGCATGGTGACCGGATTGGTCAAAGAAAAAATGATGTATGAAAAAAGAAACAAAACGACAAGATTAAAAAGAAGAAGAAGAAGAAAGCTAAAGATTGTGAAAATTATCCAATTAAAAAGCAGGTAGAGATCCTACAAGAGTCGTGGATGATTCTAGATTGCTAGCACAGGTTGGAAGCTGCATATACTGATTTTCTGCAGTTAGTAAAGAGTGAAAAAGACTTGCAAGAAGCTTACGGATATAAGGAAACATGTTTAGTACTGGATTTGGTGAAGTTAGAAGCCTAAAGTTTTCTGTACAGGGTGTTTTTTACATTAAATCTTGGGATCCATTCCATAATTCATTATTTTGACCACTGCTATATGTTCAAGTAGTATGAGAATGTGCTTCTTTTACTCAGCTGCATATATTTTTCTTTGCCTAATTTAATGGATCAAATAAATTAGCCCATTAATAAAAAAAAGTCACTCACCCAATTTTGAATCACCTAAATACATAAAGCAAATACTAACATTCTGAAGGGAGATATAGACAGCGATACAGTAATAGTAGGCAACCTAAATAGCTCACTTTAAACAATGGATAGATCATCCTGACAGAAAAATCACTATGGAAACATTGGACTTAAATTATATGTTAGACCAGATGGACCCAACAGACATACACAGAACATTTTATTCAACAACAGCAGAATACACATTTTTCTCAAGTGCACATGGAACATTCTCCAGGATAGATCATATGTTATATGCCACAAAACAAATCTTAATAAATTGAAAAAAAACTGGTATCAAGCATCTTTTCCAACCATGATGCTACAAAATTAAAAATCAACTACTGGGTGGCTCACTGGTTTAGCGTCTGCCTTTGGCTCGGGTCCTGATCCCAGATTCCTGCATCGGGCTCCTTGCATGGAGCCTGCTTCTCCCTCTGCCTGTGTCTCTGCCTCTCTCTCTGGGTCTCTCATGAATAAATAAATAAAATTTTAAAAAAATCAATTACAAGAGGAAAACTGGAAAATGCACAAATATGCACAAAGATTAACAATATGCTTACAAACAACAAATGAGTCAAAGAAAAAATTAAAAGGGAAATCAGAAAA